TCATCCCAGAAGAACTTTCCTACAGGTCACACTCCCAGAACTGTCTTCACCCCCAAGCCTCTCCTGGAAGTATCATTCCCTGTGATTTCCAAGAAAGTGTTTCTCCTGCAAGCAATGGCCAGGAAAGGTCTAATTCTTCCCACACAACCACCAGAGTTCAGAAGCAGCTCTCTCCCCTCTGCAGATAACCAGATGATGCAGACAGAAGAGTTCACGGTGGGGCGGGAGTCATCTATTGTTTCTAGCTGTGGCACCTAGAAACTTCCTGTGTGGAAACTGCCAGGATCAGGAGGCTCTGGGGTGAAATGCGCACAGAGCAGGCCATGCCAAGTCCCTTCTAACTGTTTAAATTACAGCTTCACAGATGTCTCCTGCTACTGATGTTGGCTGAGGAAGGGAACAAACCAAATCAGGACAACTGTGACAGAAAAATGACAGGAAGCCACTGGCATTTACATTCTTATTGTGGTTTCTGGTATTTTTGTTTTGTTTTGCTTTTTAACTTTTTTCCTAGAAAAAAAACACAACCGGGGACTTTATATGACAAACTATCAGTGTCAGGATGGCAGAGGAAAAGAGAAAGAAGGCCAGAGGCATGGAAAGCTAATAAAAAGAGGGTTCCGAATCACGTGGAATGGTCCATAGGGTCAAGTCCAGGTCCTCATGAGATGACCGGTCACTTTGGCATGCGTGTTTGGTGCCCGGTCTTCTGGCCTGCCCACTCAGATGCCCATGGTCAGAGAGAGCTGGCCACACCTCAGAAATCTGACAAACTCAGGACTTTACAGAAAGTCGGACTTAATTCAGCTCCTTGGCTTTGTGCTCAGGTATCATATGGCAGGCAGTTTTTCTTGCCTAAGAGTCTGGAAGCGTGGGAGAGTCCCTCCGGACATTCCAAGCAGCTGCCCAAGCAGCTGCCCACTTTCGTGCAGACGTGGTCTTCGCCACCCACCAGACATCTGTCCAGACATTCCCAGGTCAACCTGGCCAAAGGACAGGGACATGACAGTCCCTTTCTAGCCACAACTCAATAGTGGTGTCCATTCTCCAGTTTTGTCCAAACTGTCTATCGCCTTAAGGGTGGGAAGAAACTGGAATCCATCTTTTCAGCTCAGCACCGGACACTGATTCCAAAGAAGCTAGTAACTGAACGAGGACAGCTTGGCCATCTGCATCCACACTGAAAGTCTTTCAAGTTTCACCCACTTTCTGCTCCAGATTTCAGGGCAGAAAATTCAGCCAGACCCAGAAAAAACATGTGACCAGAGTGATGGTTGGGCAAGAAAGAGCCAGTAGCACGCTGCAAGATCAGAGTACATTCAAGACAGGGAGGGGGCATGCAGCAGGCCCCAAGTCACAGGCTGGGGGACACGCCGAGTCGGAAGGAAACAGCCAGACCCACTAGTCTGACAGGGTGGGTCTGACACAGAGGGGGACCCACTGGTTTTAGTTCCTATGTGGAGAGTGGTAGGTTCCTGCCCTGGTCTGGCCCCTGCTCTTGAACTCAGGCCAGGTTACATCTCAGTGCCGCAGTCCTGAGGAGCACCACGCTGGCCGGCCAGCCAGGCCACATCCTCAGCCCCTCTGGGTTCCACAGGAAGGCCCCAGGGAGCCACAGTCACTGGGAGGGAAGGAGCAAGGGAAGAGAGGCTGCATTCTGCTGGGAGAGACTCAGGGAGGAACTACCATGGGCTTGGAAGGTGCTGTGGTCCAAAATATTGCAGAGCCAAAAGGAACGGGATACATTTCTGAAAAATGACAACAGACTTGTCCCTATTTTATAAAGAGAATATTGTTGCTGTTGCTTAGTTTTTCTTTTTCCTTTTAAAACCACTCACATTTAAAAGGTGAAGGGGCTGGGAAGATGTAGCCCCTTCACTTGATTGGTGACAGGCACCAGGCGGCCTCAGTCTCAAGGCGGGTTCTGCTCTCCTGGCCTGGGCTCCAGCCACACGAAGCTAGGGCAGGACGGGGCAAGCAACTGCTCTGCTTTCCCAACAAAATTCCTTCTCCCCAAAAACCAGAACACATGTGAGGAGAAGTCCAAAGACTAAAGTGCAGAGAACTCTCAGAGTGGGGAGCCTGGTATTGGAGCACTCCGAGAAGGAATGGGAATGGGGGCGGGGTCAGCCCAGAGCTACAGCTGTGGAACAAACGAGCCCTGTGAGGTGAGCCTGCAGGGCACAGTCCCCTTTCCCTTGGGCCTCGTTGACACTGCTTCTGTCTGGGACTATCCACTATCAGCAGCTCACCAAGGAAAGTCTAGTCCCAAAGACACGGCCCATGAGGGGAGAAAACCTGTATGACCATCCCTGGCTGGTACTGACTAGGAGTGTGACGGGAACAGGAGGTGGTGGGAGGGGAAACAGTGCAGTATATAAAACTGATGAACCTCAGGTTTCGAGAACAGGGATACATGGACCACCCTAAAGGCAGAGTCTCTCCTAGGGAAGGTTTGGTGAAGATGGTCAGGATCCTACCAGCGAGGCCTGCTGAGGAAAGGCGCTCCTCTGGGCACGAGAGGAGCTGCAGAGTCAGGGGAGGGGCTGCTGAGGAAGAAAGCCCACAGTTGGCATTAGGGTGTGTAGGCCGGGGGCGGCTGGAATTGGTTGATGACCTCATACTCTGCCGGGTAGGGCTCGTTCTCTTCCATCTCGGAGAGCAGCTCCAGCGCCTGCTCCTCTTCCTCTGTAGGGTAGTGGCGCAAGAGGTTGGCTGCTGTGGCCAGGATCGAAGCTCCGCCAGCTCCTGCCACCAGGTAGAAGCTAACAGCAAAGGTGACATAGACCTGGGAGCCATGGTACTTCTTATGTTGCTGCTGCTGGGCCAGGATGAGTTCAGAAGCCCAGTAAGAGAAGCCGATGACGGTGGCACACTGCAGAACTGGGGGACGAGGGACAGCACAGAAGGGCGATTAGGAGGCACCCTGTAGCCAGGATGCTTGAGGAACCAATCACAGCCTCTCTACCCAAACCTCATTCTCAGAGAACCTGTCTGGCCCTAGACCCTGCAAGGAGAAGCTCCCCTGGCCATGGGATTCCTGGCCTGGGGTTGCGGGTATTTGGCTGACTCTATCTAGGCCAGATTCTCAGTTTGCAACTGGGATACTAAAACCACTGGCTGTCATTGGGTACCTAAAAGGAACAGATAAGGTCATGAAGTTTGAGAGTTGGAGTTGACATCATCACAAGTCAAATCAACACAGCAGCTCAGTTGTGAGGGAGGACAGCAGCCACATATAGCAGAGAAGGCTGGTATGCAGGGAAGCAGGAGAGTGGAGAGGAGAGAATCCGACTATGAACTCCAGGGGAGACACAGGGAGACAGCCTGGTTCGTTCCTCGTTCATTCTGGGCCCTGAGCTCAGTGGGGCTTCAAATGCTGTTTTTAGAGAGTCATGAGATTCCCTGTGGAATTCTAACAACATTCCCTCTCTACAGCTGGGCTGAGTGGGTTTGTGGTCCTGCCAAGAGTGCATATCAATGACTAAAGCAAGCTGCTAACACGCCCTGATGCTCTGTGAAAGGCTGGAGCTTTTCACATGAACACCTGGAGCAGCATCTGCTCATAGAACCCTGTGTCCCCACCTGCAACACCAGGCACACGCACCAGCCTGTAACAGTTCCCCTCCATAGTGAGCAGGCTCTGAGCTTACCGGTGAGGATATGGGCAAAGGCATAGCGACGGGTGATCTTCAGGGCTGGATGCTTGGGCCCAAAGACATCCAGAAGGAATGCGGAGAGACTGCACAGGATGCCCAAGAAGCAGAAGGCGGCAATGACTCGCAGGAGCAGCACTGTCTGGGGGTTCATGCAGAAATCTGTGTGGGGAGAACCAAATCGTCAGAGCCCCAGGTAACACCTGATGCAGGAAAGCCCCACCTAGAAGGAGCTTGATTCCCCTCTACCACAGTCCTGGGGAGCCAGGGGAGCAATCTCCATATCGGCAGACAGTAGCCCTGGGTCACTATTCCTTATACCCCAAGTCCTTTTTTTCATCAAGACTAGGTGCAAGACTCCGCTTCATTGGACTATGCTCTTTTACTTAGTTTTAAATATTCTGACAAGTAATCTGACATGTTAATGCATTCTGCTAAAAAATGCTTTGGGCTGGCAGGAGAAGTCTGAGACAGCCAGAAAAGCTAAGGCCAGAGGTTAATTAATGTTGATTCTCCATTTACTCACTCATTCATTCCTTTTTTGTTCCAAAAAGAATTTGAAGACACTATGTTAATGAATAAGTCAAATACAGAAGGACACATACTGTATGATTCCACTCATATAAGATACCCAGAATAGTCAAATTCATAGAGACTGAAATTACAATGGTGGTTGCCTGAGGATGGGGAGAGGGGGGAACAGGGAGTTAATGTGTACAGAGTTACAATTTTGAAATGAGGGAACCGGTCTAGAAATGGATAGTGGTATTGCTTGTATAACAGTGTGAATGTATTTAATGTCACTGAACTATACACTTGAAAATGGTTACAATGTTAAATTTTATGTTATGTACATTTTACCACAATAAAAAAAAGTAAAATAGCCAAGCTTGGTGGCTCCGCCTGTAATCCCGCGCCTTTGGGACGCTGAGGTGAGTGGATTGCCTGAGCCCGCGGGTTCGAGACCCACCTGGGCAGCGGGACCTCATCTCTACAATAAACCAAAAAATCAGCCGGGCGTGGTAGCACATGACTGTAATTCCGGTCACTTGGAAGGCTGAGGCAGAAGGATCGCTGGAGTCCAGCAGGTCGAGGCTGCAGTGGCCGGGAG